AGCCCTGTCTTCCTTGAAGTCTTCCTTAATGTTGCTCAGAAGTCTAATTATCTTTTAGGAGAGTTAAATATTTTGAAAATTTGTAAAACATCAACGTCAAGGGGTAAGAATATGTGTTTGTGAAACACTATGCGCCATGCGTCAACAAAATTCGAAAAAGCTATTTTTAGCATATAGGTCACAGTCAAGGTCACAAGGTCATTGACCTTAGTGTTGTTTGTAAGAACTTAACTAGTGGGGTATGCATACTAAATATGAAGTCCCTATCTCCTATGGTTCAAAAGTTATGGCAAAAAGTAGAAAAAGCTATTTTTAGTATAAAGGTCACAGTTAAGGTCACATGGTCATAGACCTTGGTGTTGTTTGAAAGAACTTTATTAGTGGAGTATGCATACTAAATATGAAGTCCCTATCTCTTATGGTTCAAAAGTTATGGCAAAAAGTGGAAAAAGCTATTTTTAGCATATAGGTCACAGTCAAGGTCACAAGGTCATTGGCCTTGATGTCATTTGAAGGAACTTTATTAGTGCAGTAAGCATACCAAATATGAAGTCCCTATCTCCTATGGTTCAAAGGTTATGGCAAAAAGTAGAAAAAGCTATTTTTAGTATAAAGGTAACAGTCAAGGTCACATGGTCATTGACCTTGGTGTTGTTTGAAAGAACCTTTTTAGTGGAGTATGCATACCAAATATGAGGTCCTTATCTCTTATGGTTCAAAAGTTATAACAAACAGTTGAAAAACCTATTTTTAGCATATAGGTCAAAGTCAAGGTCACGAGGTGTCATTGACCCTGATGTCATTTGAAAGAACTTTATTAGAGGAGTATGCATACTAATTATGAAGTCTCTATTTCTTATGGTTCAAAAGTTATGACAAACAGTTGAAAAACATATTTGTAGCATATAGGTCACAGTCAAGGTCACAAGGTCATTGAACTTGGTGTCATTTACAAGAACTGGATTAGTGGAGTACACATAACAAACATGAAGTCTCTATCTCTTATGGTTCAAAAGTTTTGGCCAAGGTTAAAGTTGACAACAGACAAACAGACAAACAGACAGGACAAAAACAATATGCGCCCCAAAAAAATCGGGCGCATAAAAAAACATCACATGCTGGGAAACACCTTGAATTCTTATGAGTAATTTATGTACATGTCAAATGTGAGAGTCATATCTCATCTCAATCAAAAGTTATAAGCAAATGCAACATTTTTGAAAAGTAGGTTAGGCTTGATCGCTTCAAGGTCAAGGTCACAGTGTAAAAGTCATGATTTATTTGGAAAGGTCTTATCACAGGTAATAATATACATGCATTATGATATGAATGCCCTAACTTTTTCTTTCAAAATGATGAATTTATAACAATTTAATTTTTTTGCAAGTTGGTCAAACTTCTAGGTCACATGTAAAAAAAAACCATGCCATTCTCAAAGGTAAATATACTAATACATAAGTTTAATATGAATGTCTCTTCTCATTCAGTAGATATGACTGTGATAACCAAGGTTAAATTTATTGAGACAGATGGACTGAGTCTGACATACAAATGTACATATTTCTATATGAATTGGGTAAAATTGGCCCAGTGGTTCTAGAGAAGTTAAAAATGTAAAAAGTTTTCAGACAAACAGATGGACAACACGTCACGACAGACATTATATGCTAAGGAAACCAAGAAAGCTCAAATGAGTGTTTTGAAAGGGTTACAGTATGGTTGGAGTATTTGGAAAGCTGTTTTTTTCCTGCAGAGATATGCATGACCAACATATTCATGTTTTATATTTTCTTTATTGATTTGTTTGTTTGTTGTGAATACATCTTCCCTCATATGGCGACACCACCAAATAATAATGAAGATAAGATGTGTTTGTGAAACACTGATGTCCCAGTATGGAAGCCTATGGCGAAGGTTGAAGTTTCTCAAATATATGTCAAAATCAAAGGTCAAGGTCAAAGGGTTCAAATTGTTAGTATCAGAAGAAAGTCTTGTCACAAGGAATGCACATGTGAAATAAAGAAATCCCTAGTAATTTCTGTTCAAAAGTTAATTGCCAAGGTTAATTTTTTTTGGTTTAAGTGGTTCAAACTCTAGGGTCAAGGTCAAAAATATTTATACCTGTTGACAGTTCACAATGAAAACAATATGTCATGATAAGTATGAAAGCCCTAGCACCTACTGATCAAAATTTAGGCAGAGTTTAAAGTTTGGAATTTTTTTTTTGTAAAAATGTGTATCCCATGTCAAGCGATCAGAGGTAAAAATTAATGGTACCCAAATAAAAGGTCTTATTAGATTGTCACAAGAAATAAACCTATAAAATGTGGAAGCTATTTGTATAGCCCATCCCACTTAAAACTTATGGGCAAGCTAGCTACGATTTAATTTCTGCACACTTATAGACAGACATACTATAAACACAAGAAACAAAATATGCATAATAATTAGTCAAATGGAAAAAAAAATATACTATTTAACTGGAATCACAAAATACATTGTTATTTCAGGGACAGGAAGTGGGTAGGAAGATTGGAATCCCCCCATCCCCCCATCTGGAATTTGCTTTATTTAAACAAGACTATATACTGTAGCAAGTAAAAAATGACTCTTGACATCCTCTCCCTATAAACTTAGAAAACATTGACCTCACTATCATTGTTTTTTTTATTTGTTTATTTGTTTTCATTTTTTTCTCCTGCTTGTCACGAAATTCTGGGCTGGAATTTTTTGACTGAGATGTGAACCCCCCTCCCTACTCCCGAAAAAAATTCTGGATACGCACCAGTATTGGCAGTAACTGAATGTCACATAGACAACGGGAGATAACTTCACAATATGAAATTCGTATAGTGTGGCATGCGATGATCTTTGACCCTTTTTAAACTTTACCCTAATCGTTTGGGTGTATTTTACCCCCCACTATACTAAAACTTCTACTTACCGACTCCCTGTGTCTCGTCAACTTCATGAAATATAGGCCTAAATCCAATTATAACACAAAATGAATTAATCCAATGCACACCAGACTGCAGCCATGTGCCATTTTGGCGAACCTTCGTCGATTCCATCACCTTATCAGATGAAGTGGGTATCGGCCGAGGTGTGCCAAATGGTGTTTAATCTATAAATATGATAATGGGTGACGCAACGTGATGTGATGTAGAAATTTACATGTTCACATGTATAGTACAAGAACAAATTTTAAATTAATTCATAACAAACGATATTAAATTTTAACAAACCTTTTTCATCTAGCCTATTCCCAAAAGTATGTGCTGTGTGATTGTGGTGTCGAGGGGGGGGGGGGTAGTAAATTTAAAAAGGTCCTACTGTGAGCTAAACATATATCAAAATCTAATTTCAGACGCGGATCCAGAAATTTTTTTCCGGGGAGAGGGGGTCCACCTCAGTCAAAAAAAAAAAAAAAAATCCTATCCCAGAAATTGATAATCAAAAAAAAAAAACGTAAGGTAAATCTCACCCAAACGTCAAAAACCTATATCGTGGGGGGGTGGGGTGGGGGTAGTGGTGACTTCTATTGCCGCAAATGTTTAACTTTTCATACCTATTTTACACATATTCGTGTTTACCAGGGGGGGGGGGGGGATCTGCATTTTCCAAGGGGGGTCCATTGTAACTTTTTCCTTGTTTTAGTATATACATTTTTTAACCTTGTAAATTCCAGGGGGGGGGGGGGGGGGGGGGGGGGGGGGGGGGGGGGGCCTGACCCCCCCCCCCCTCCGACAGATCCGTGCATGAATTTACATCATTAATAAAATTCAGACTGGTATATAATGAATTAAGCATGTATAAAATAAATATAAGAGGTTCTGAGTTATAGGTCACTGGGTCTGAGAATTTCATACTCAATTTGATGAATACATGTAAACTATAGAATTATTTTGACTATTTCTGTGGAAAGCCGCCCAATATGTAGGAGCGTGTATTTAGAGGCAAACACCTTAGTGCGGGTATTACTGTCTCATGACAGCATCTAGTTATATATTTTGTGCTATTTTAACTTTAGATCTATTCTTTTTGCTTGATTTTTTTTATTCTAATTTGATTTGTTTGTTAAAGTGTCAAGGCAATTCCATTGTCCTATGATGTCATAGGATTTTTGAAAAACTGTAATTAGTTTAATTTTATATCTAATAGAACAATATCATTCGAAAGAATGATGTACAATAGGTGTAATTATAAATTTGTTTAGTTGAAGAATTTAGAAGAAAAAAAATGATTATTTACTTTATCTTATCAACTATTTAATATTTTAAATGTCTTGACAAGGGCGATAACTCCTTCTAAGCTCTCTTCATACAGGCATTTTCTTTATTGTACTTCTAATGTTAAAAAGTTTCCCTGATATTCACAAATAAAATTATCTTATAATTAGGAAGTTTTTAGGAACATTCAGCATCAGAATTATGCATTTTATCCAGTTTGTTTGACATCTTTTTCATAATTCTACTTACAAAAAAATGTGCGATTTTTTTAAGTTGACATACACTTTTGTTTATTTATGTTCTGCATCTTGAATAATATGGTGACCTATACATTTCCTGCAATAGTTTGAAACATTAGATGAAAATAAATGCGGTTTCTGTACTTTAAACCATTAAAATTGCGAGGATGGAAACACCTTCAAAACTAAATCAATGTGCTCTAGTTTACTTTTTTCCCCGAGTTTATCCTTTTTTCGTCCAGTTGAACATATAATTTGAGTTGTAATGTAATATAATTGAAGCGTGACCTTGTCATCTCTGACGAACATATTCTGTCATTAAACTAAGAATGGTTCCAAATATTATGCTTGTGTCAACAAGTGGAACGTTTGTGTGAAAATTAATTGTAAGATGCTTTACTATTTTGTTATATCTGATTGAAAAGTTGGTTAAAGGCTTCTATTTTGCTCCTCTAGGTATTTACAAATTCAATATACTTTTTATTCCTGTTTTTATGAATTTAACACACATAGTTATGTTACCTTTTTTAAGGTAACTGTTTGGAAACTGACGGAGAAAACCTTTATTACGTCGATTGTCTTGGATTTTCATCAGGTTGTCCTGAGGAAGATTATCCAAGCAATACAATATACCAGTGTAAGATATTAATTTTTTTTTTGATGCAATTTTATTAAGAGACATAGTACTAGTATTAAATCAAAGCCTAAATGCATTTTCAAAAATATTTTATTCGTTGATATATTTATTCAAATTTGAATTCCTTATTTATGGTTTTAGATCCCGCTTGTCAAAGCATCAATACTGAACAAAAATGCTATCTCGCTGAATTCTCATGCCCGAACACGTAAGTATTTTCTTTTCCTTTGAATTATCTGATGTTCTTGAATAAATCATGATTTACTTATTTGAAACTTTGAAATGTTAACGCAATACATGCTCTTCAAATATTTAAAAAAAATTAAAATATACCTTCAGTTTTCTTCCTGGATAAAACATCACAACACAGGATTTGTGTGAATGTACATTTATTGAAAACAACAATGAGTAATAACAATATGATAAAGAGAGGTTCAAAAGTCGTTGATAGATTTATTTTTTTACATACATTGTAACAACATAAAGTTTGATAATGATATCCCCTGTTACATGTCAATAGTAAAATACTGGAAATAACAGAACAAAATATAAAACGGATATACATTACAAGAAAAAAAGTTTACTTTGAGGCCCAAACAAATGAAAAGTACTAACTAATTGTGGAGGGTTTTCTTTTAAATAGACATCAACAAAAAATTAAAATCAAATGTAATCATAAGCATAAACTGTTCAATAAATGAATAATGGGGAAAGCTGGGGAAGGTATGTAGGTGATTTCTTGTAAAGATAAACTGTATATTTCTTTTCTCCTTCTAAATCAGGTGATTTATGCTATTCTGATTGGTTAATTCTACAAATATTAGGCTAATTCCCCGAAAGACGCCAAATCTACATCATACAAGGCTTGTCCCAAAACTTCGTAGACTGATCTCAAAAAGAAATTAATGTATGTTTGAAAAATTTCTGTGTAGTTAAAGCGTTTTCTTGGCAGATAAATTACGAAGTTTTATATGATTTGTTTAAAAGCAATTCGAGTTATCATCTTTGAAGTGATATCGTTCTCTCAATCTGCAATGTCCAATGTAGACAAATGTCATAAGGAACAATTTTTTAGGGTGAAAATTTTCTAATTAACAGAATCAAATTCTTCAAAACGAATATATACTGGAAGTAAAAAGAAACACAGGGTAAACTTTTGTGCTGAATTAAATTCATTTTTCTCTTTATTTTTTTTCAGCAGTCCTATCTTACTTTTAAAATCATCTTCAAAGAATGTGTAACCGAAATTCCATTTGATTTTGTCTTAAAATTCATAAGTTATTGAAACTCATATGACGGAAACCCTCTGAAAGTGACAATCGAAAACTCTCATTATCTTCAATGTTTCACTCGCACATCTGTCACAGCCGTGATTCTCCTCTGCTAGAAATTTATCAGAATGATTATCTTTTAAATCCTGACTATATTAGGCATAGCTAACCACACGGAAAAATTATTCAAATGACGCGTGCATGTGCCAGTGAGAGGAACACAAAAGTAATTTGACCGGCTCAAAGAACTATATTGCGATTTTTGTATTCTTTTAGTTTTCGGATGAATGTAATGACTATGATAGTCTGCTGTATTAAAAGCGGTTATGTGGTAGTAAGGTGGGGATTAAACAGGTGACAGGATCTCTAAAAAGATTCTGTTGTGCTTTAACGCCATCGTCACGGTTAGTTGGAAACCATATTGGTCCTCTCTGACAACGGGTAGAACATTCGATGGGTAAAAATTTGCAAGACACTGTTCAGTAACCCGTTATTGCATTTTTCCTTACTTAGGCAAATTCGAAAACCCGAACCCACTGAATTTCGGTAAACTGTACCAAGATTGCAAGAAATCCATATCGTTTGTAAATCCTGAAAAACAATGTGTCTTCCTCTGGTTCATCAAATGGTACAACAAAATATTTTGACATACTCGTCGTCATCAATTTGCACGTGTTTTATGTTTGGCGTATTAGTTACGTGACGTCATACACTGTATATTTTACGGTTGAGTCATTCTTAACACTGATTTTCGAACATGCTGTCAAAGAAATATGGAATATTATGCTAGATGTACCTTGTATTTCTTTTTTTCCCCTTAGTATATATAAAAATGTAAAATATCTTAAATACTATGATATGATTAAACTTAATCTATGTTAACAAAATATATATATGTACAGCCATAAAATAATAATAATTTCAAAAATCCTATATTTCTAGGGACTTTTTTCTGTCTTTTTTCAAGGAGTTTAACGGTGGCACTCTTAACCAATTCTCAGGCCTGTCTTTTATTTTAGTTTCCGTTTTTCCAGAGTTATATGGAAACCATTTCAGACCAGAAAACATTTTCTTGTCTATCAAACATTTGCACCTTTACATTTTTGAAGAACTGATTCAGGATCAAAATACTAATTTTAGTCCAATGCAGCACCGGTACCAACGCAGCTGCCATTTATTAAAAAGTCGGATTTCAACCCGTTGTATAAAAAAAAATTCATACTTGTAAAAGCATTAACACCAAAACTTGACGAAAAATACTTAATAATATACATTTATTGCATGATAGTGAGGGAAATATGAAGACTTATTCAGCCAAGAAAAATCAAATTGAATATGATATTTCTTGGCTGAATAATCTTATGTTTTAACTTCGCGCAGTGAATTGTTTATTATACCAAAACAAGCAAAATATTTGAATATGCTGAAATAAACATAAACTTTCAAATTCTGCACTGCTCTCAAATTCACTTTCATTTTTTTACGTAAAGTTACTATAAAACCCTTTGGTCAACACATTATCATCAGTTTTGTGACGAAAACCAGGCTATTGTGACGTCTACTTCTCTGGAGAATTTTCAATTAACGAACGAGAACTATATTGCAGGAAAATACACAAGGTGTTCCGAAGAGGTGGAATATGTTGAAAGCGTACTGACGACTGGGAAATATGAAGTTTTACAGCCCGATCACGTGATAGCATAGAACCAATCAGATAACGGCGTTTTTAGAATATTTATGATGAAGTATGATAATACAATACATATAACACAATAACAACAATTTTTATTCTATTAACAGAAATGCATAGTATTTATTACTTTTTCCGTAGGAGTATGAAGTATCGATTTTTAAATTTCAACTTTGGGGGAAAGTTTCCACCTTCCTACACAAGACAATGAAATGCATCATTTTTAATAGAGTTTTTTAGCTCACCTGAGCCAAGGCCGTCGTCTGTTGTTGGGTTTTTGTTTTTTCTTTGTCGTAATCTTTTCACATCTTTATCTTCTTCTAAAACCACTGGGGGATTTTAACCAAATTTGCTAAAAGTATCCTTGGGTAGAGGGGATTCAGGTTTTTTGATTGAATGACCACGCATATTTCCAAGGGGAGTTTATTATGAATAAGAGAGAAATTAATAAAATTTTAAAAAAATCTTCTTCTCAAGAACTACTGGGCCAGGAAAAATGAAGCTCGTGAGGAATAACACTAGGTAGTATGGATTCAATTTTGTTCAAATCATAACCCCCGGGGTAGGGTGGGGCCAAAATGGCCGATCAAAGTTTTACAGAGGAACACAAAGGAAAAATCTTCAAAAGTCTTCTCCTCAAGATCAACTGGGCCAGGAAAGATGAAACTCATGTGGATTCATCCTCATGTTCTGTAAATTCATTTTTTTTTCAAATCACAAACCCCCGGGGGTAGGAATGGCCCAAATGGCTGATCAAAATTTTACATAGGAATATATAGGAAATAGCTTTAAAAATCTTCTTTTCACAACCACTGACACAGGAAAGATGAAACTCATGTAAAATTATCCTTAGGTAGTGTAGATTCAAGTTTTTTTTTCTTCAAATTATGACCACCGGGGCTAAGTTGGGGCCAAAATTGCTACCAAAATTTTACATAGGAATATATAGGGAAACCTTTTAAAATCTTTTTTTCAAGCACTTCAAAGCCATGATTAGTAATATTTATTATGGAATCATCCTCAGGCAGTGTAGATTCTAGCACGTTCAACTCATGATCCCCTGGAGTGTTAAATCCCCCCCTTAACCTCAGTAAACTTTCAGTTTTATCTGATATGTGCTTCTTCCTAGCCGATACATGTATGCTCAGATGAGCTCTTAAGTCCCCTGGACCTCTTGTTGGTGTGGTTACCCCATATTTGACGACAGATTTATTAAGGTGTTTCCACCCTCACAATTTTATAGGTTCAAAGTACAAAAACTGCATTTACTTTCATTTAATAAACTTTCCAATTATTGCAAAAGAAAATATAGGTCACCATATTATTTAAGACGCAAAACATAAATAAACAGAAGTGTGTGTCAACATAAAAAAATTGCATATTTTTGGTAAAAAGTATGAATAATATGTAAAAACTGGTTATAATGCAAAATTCTATGCTAGTGTTCATAAATACTTCCTACTTAAAAGATACTTTTGAATTGTGAATATCAGGTAAACTATTTTACAATAAAGCAAATGCCTAATGAAGAGACTTTAGAAGGAGTTATTACCCTTGCAACATTTTTAAAAAGATTAAATAATTGATTAAATAAGGAAAATGTGCATTTTAAAAATTCTTTTACTTAACAATATTCATATTACACCTATTTAAAACTTTTTTCCAAAGATTTTGTTTTATTAGGTATGAATTTAAACTAATAGCAGTCTTTGCAAAAACCTATGACATATAAGGGGGAATTACCTTAATAAGTGTTAGTTTTTTTATGTATGTACATATGAAGGGTTCCATTCTGATATTTGACATCGTGTTCCTATGTGTAAAAAACAATGCTTGTGTGGGGAATTCGGGGACGATTACGTAAATGCTTTTATTAGAAATAATAAGTAATTTGTACTTTGATTATGTACTGCAGGAGGCAAAATATTTTTTCTAGCTTTTTCACGATTTTCATACTTTACTTCCCAGGAATCAGTCAGAACTGCTGCCATTTAAAAAATTTCGTCGTATATAGCTGGAGTTTATTTTTGATATTGTATATGGAACTAATTGCCAAATCAGAATCTTTACAAAAAACAATGCCTTCTTTCCAAATGATGAAAAGAAATATTTATGTGCATGAAATGAGGACACATCTCAAAAGTCTGACAAAAATCTTAAATTTCAAAGGATTATAAATTTCATAGATGAACACAAAACTATATTGTTAAAGGAATCACTCCTCAGCTTTTTAGAAAAGTTCACTCAGAAGCTTTTCTTCAAAACTACTATAAAATTCAATTT